AGCACTGCTAGGAGCGATCCCTGAGCACTGAGTTAGGAATAGCTCCTGGCCCCAAAGCAAACTGTCATGACTTAAAAAAAATTGTTGGGGCTGGAGCGAGAATGCAGGGGGTAGGGCGTTTGCCTTGCACGCGCCGATCCGGGTTCGATTCCCAGCATCCCATATGGTCCCCTGAGCACATCCAGGAGTAATTCCTGAGTGCAAAGCCAGGAGTAACCCCTGTGCATTGCTGAGTGTGACCCAAAAAAGAAAAAAAATTGTTTTAGGGGACTGAGGAATAGTATAGTGGTGGGTAGGGCGTTTGCCCCACATTTGGCCAACTGTGTCCAATCCCTGGCACCAAAAATGGTCCCTTGAACACTGTCAGGAGTGATTCCTGAGTGCAGGGCCAGAAGTAAGTCCTAAGCACCACTGGGCGTGGCCCCAAAACCAGAAAAAAAGTTTTAAAACATTCAAATATATATTTTTAATCTTACTGTGTAAATGGAGCTGGAGCGATAGCACAGTGGTAGGGTGTTTGCCTTGCACGCAGCCAACATGGCCAACCCTAGTTCGATTCCTCCGCCCCTCTCGGAGAGCCCAGCAAGCTACCGAGAGTATCTCGCCCGCACGGCAGAGCCTGGCAAGCCACCCGTGATGTATTCGACATGCCAAACACAGTAACAACAAAGTCTCCAATGGAGACATTACTGGGCCCGCTTGAGCAAATCGATGAACAACGGGAGGATAGTGACAGTGACTGTGTAAATGACTGCTATTTTTGATAGTTCTTGTCAGTCTCTTACTGCCTATGCCCTAGACACACAGTTTTTGGCATTTGGACTTTGTAGACACAGTATCTTCTGTGTGGGCTTTTTGTTAACTCATCACTGTTCAAATCTCAGTGAATTTTTTTTTCTGCTTTTTGGGTCACAGCCATCAATGCTCAGGGGTTATTCCTGGCTCTGCACTCAGGAATTACTCCTGGCGGTGCTCGGGGGACCATATGGGATGCCGGGGATCGAACCCAGGTCAGCCGCGTGCAAGGCAAACGCCCTACCGCTGTGCTATCGCTCCGGCCCCAAATCTCAGTGAATTTTTAAAAATTAAATCACTTTCTCTGTAAGTGTGCCTTGAATTTATGATCTTGATTAGGGCCTATAGAGAGAGTTCAAGTGGTACAAACGTGTAAGGCCCTCAATTCTATCCCCAACACCACGTGGCACCTCCAGCAATGCCAGCCTGCTCTGCACTTTGGGCAACCTCTGCTGGAAATGGCCCCTATAAAACAACTCCCCCGCCCTTCCCCGCGCCTCACAAAATACACCCGACGTCCTCAAGCAAGTAAACAGCCCAGCTCCACAACAAATCTTGAAAGAATGCTAAGCAGTTGAATTGTCTCAGGTAGATTGATCCCTGGGGCCTTGAGAATTCTGGGGTCTTCTCAGAATGAGGGAGGGAAGATTCCCCTCCTGGCTGGAAGGCCCAGCCCACACCCAACACCTTTGGGCAGGGAAATAACCCAGCTCTACAACTGAACCTCATCAAGTTGCCAAGCCCTCGAATTGTCCCAGCGCCACAGCTCCTGGAGCAGGCTGCTGCATATGTGTCTCTAAATTTCACAGTGACAGCTGTGAGAGCAGAGGAAGTTTGGTGGGAAAGTTGCGGAGAAGCCCACCAAGCTCAATGAGCAAAAACAGTAACGCAGAAGGTTAATGTGTGTTACTCTGGACCAACCAGCCCAGCAAATCCTCAGACATAGTCGAAACACCATTGCGAGACACAACAACTGTGTCTGGCATATCGAATACTCTCGGTAGCTTGCCGGGCTCTCCGAGAGGGGCAGAGGAATCGAACTCAGGTCGGCCACGTGCAAGGCAAACGCCCTACCCGCTGTGCTATCACTCCAGCCCCCAGACACAACAACAATGATCACAAACTGACTTTTTTGTTTTTGGTAATTCCACTTGCATTTTGTTGGAATGTGCAATATTAAGTAAATTTGCTTGTTGTGCTAAAGGGGGCAGACATGGGGGTTGCGTGGGAGAGTGGGGACACTGATGGAAGAAGGTCCCACTGGTGGTGGGATTGGTGTGCTGGAACACTGAATGCCTGATACAAGTGTACTGTGAATAACTTTGTAAATCATGGTGTTTAAATAAAAAAATACCGAACAGGGTACAGAGAGAGGAGTGGGTAAGGCTCTTGTCTTGCATGCGTTGAACCCAGGTTCAATCCCTGGCACCCCATATGGTCACCCGAGCGTACCAGGAATGATCCCTGAGTGCAGAGGCAGGAATAAGCTGAGCACAGCCAGGTGTGGCCCCAAACCAACACCAAACTCATCAAGACAAAATCTGGTTTAGGTGGCCTCTGCCTTACCTAAATCCTCTCCCAGTAACTCATTACTACCTTTCCCCATTTTCCTTCCTATAATGCAAACTCTTTTATTTATTTCATTGAATCACTGTAAGATCCAGTTACAAAGTTTTTTTTTTTTTCCTTTTTGGGTCACACCCGGCGATGCACAGGGGTCACTCCTGGCTCTGCACTCAGGAATCACTCCTGGCTGTGCTTGGGGGACCATATGGGATGCTGGGAATTGAACCCAGGTTGACCCCGTGCAAGGCAAACGCCTTATCTGCTGTGCTATTGCTCCAGTCCCAGATACAGTTGCAAAGTTTTTGTGATGCGTTTCAGTCAGTGTTCCAACCCCCATCCTTCCACCAGTGTACATTTCCCACCACCAATATCCCCCATATCCCTCCTGCCACCTCCCCTCCCCCCCCCTCCCGCAGCCTGCCTGCCTCTCTCTCTCTCTCTCTCTCTCTCTCTCTCTCTCTCTCTCTCTCTAATGCAAACTCCTTGAAGATCTTGCTCAGTGCCTGGCAATAATAGGTGATCAGTAAGAACAGTAACATTGTTAAATACATTGATTTATACCCTCATTCGCTGGTAAAAATTCTAACTCTGGGGCCCCAGAATACAACATAGAAGATTGCACCTTTTCTTTCTCTGTTCGAGTCATATACCAGCGTATCTCTCTGCAAGTTGACCCATTTCTGGCTGCTGAGATACCCGGTCCTGGAATCTCTGGGAGTGGAGGGGGTTGGGAGGTGAGGCTGGTCTTCAGCCACCTAAGCCCTCCTCCCCTCCCCTCCTCCCGACCACTGGCCCCGTGCTGAGCCTTTTTGCCAGCAGGTGGTGCTAGAAGCCCACACGAAACCTTCCTGTTCAGAGTTGCTTGTGAGGTAGGTCGCCCAATGGGGCTGTGAGGAGAGGTTCTGGTGGGGGAACCCAGCTCCTTCTGGCACCAGTGATTGCTGGGCGTCTGGTGTGGACCCAGTACTGGTGCATATGCTCGAGTCAGCAAAATCTTGGTAGAGTATGTCAAGCTCTTAAATGACAGTTTGGAAGACCAGGCATGTTCTCAAGCTCCGTTTCCTTAGCAACTCTTTCCCACCTTCTCCCTGCTCGCTCTGACGCTGCTGCTCAAGGTCAAGCCCAGGCATTTCTTTCCCTGCCCAGAGTCCGCAGGCTAGAACTGAAGAGTTATTTTTATTTATTTATTTTTAAAGCAGAGAACAACAACACAAGTAGAGAACAGCTGTAGGTGTGTGGGAGGAATTTATCGAGGCGCTGCTAGTATCACTCTTACATTGTCCAAGAATTATTTTTAAATCAGCTTTTGGTGGTGGCGGGAGGGTCTGTTTCTTTGGTCATGTCACTCCTGCCACTAAGCTTTGTGGCTGACAGTCTCACCAAATGACAGCAAAGGCAGGCCAGAAGATGATCAAGGAGGGGCTGAGTCTTGAGGGGGGAGGGGACGGTTATTCTCTCCAGGCAGGAATGCGAGTTGAATCGAAAGAGCAGGCCATATTAGCCTCTTGCGTTCCCTGGTGCTCCCAGCCTATCTGCCAACTCTGCCCTTTCAGTTTGTCTCAAGCCCATACCATATGCCATGTTGCTCGGAACTTCCCAGGATGATCCTGGTCTCTTCGTGTGTGTGTGTGTGTGTGTGTGGTGTGAGAGTATGTGGTTTCCCATATGAAAACTGTGTGCTCCAGCCCTCTGAGCCACCTCCTGGCCCATTCTATTTTCTCCAGCCCCTCAGGCACTCCTAGGAGTAAACGGAGTTTGGTTCAAATTCCCAGTGCCAAGAAGCAGGAAGCACTTTTTTTTTTTTTTGCTTTTTGGGTCACACCTGGCGATGCTCAGGGGTTACTCCTGGTTCTGCACTTAGGAATTACTCCTGGCGGTGCTCAGGGGACCATATGGGATGCTGGGAATCGAACTTGGGTTGGCCACGTGCAAGGCAAACGCCCTACCTGCTGTGCTATCGCTCCAGCCCCAAAGCAGGAAGCACTTTGGAGAAACTCGTCTGCACCCAGGAATGGTCTGAGCAAGAAGGTGGCTAAATACCCTGAGGAAATGGGAGCCCCAGTGCGGCCCAGGCCCTGCTCTTCTCTGGCTGACCCCCCCCCACACACACATCGATCCCCACAATAGTTGGTGCCGGCAACCCCCCTCTCCCCCACCCGACCCCAGGAGATTCTGGTGCGGTGCTTCTGTTTAAGTCAGACTCAAGACCCTGCCATGGAAGTTCTGGGGGAGAACTGAAGGGACCTGGAAGAAAACCTAAGAGTCCTCTGAGCTCAACCCTGTCTGCCATGTAACATGGGCAGTGCCTTGCTTGACCAAGGCAGAGTTGAATTTGTCTTTGACACTGATATTGCAAATCAGAGCCTCCCCCCCACTCCCCGACATAGAGCATGAGTGGTCAGCGACTGTGACACGCCAATCTGGACTAAAGCTAAGCCTCCGGCACCCTAACGACATGTCGAAGCTAGTAGGGATGACATGGTCTCACACTGCGATTCTTTTCACAGTCTGTGTTAAAAGCCCTTTTGCAATAAGAACCAGTTTCCAGTAGAAAGAGCCACGTGATGCCAGGCGGATCTCGAATTCAGTGAATTGAAATGAAAGGGGATCCTGAAATAACGGAGACAAGAACAAGAGCCTTCTTTCTGGGGGGCGAGGGAGGAGGGTTTATTGCAGACTTAAGAGTTCAAGTGACAGTTACAAGTGTTTAAGACAGAGAGGGGACAGCTCTCAGCCGCCCTGGCTTCAGAGGTTCACGCTGCGAGGGCAAAGGGCACGCTGCTCACCGAGCACAGGCAAGGCGGAGTCTTGTGGGAATCCTGAGAGCACAACGAAGGAGCGGAGAGAGCAATGAACCTGCGGGGTAAGCTGACGCATCTCCTTCTGGGAGCAGGCAGGGCCACAGAAGCACGGATACGGCCTCCCTCCCGCCAGGCTTCCTGCCAGGCAGGGGCCCCCGGCACCCTCAGTTCTATCCGTCAGACTTCGTTTCGCCTGCCAGAGGTCTTTCCCAACTTGTAGCTGAAAGAACAAAAAAAATCCCAGCAGGAGGGAAACAAGGGATATCCTTGTTCTCATAAACCCACAGCAAAGGTGACGAGAGAACTGGCCATCTCTAGAGGCTGGAGGAACTGCAGGGATGTGCCATGGGTCCGAGCCATGAGAACTGGGTCCTGGTGTGAGACCTCTGGGAATGACCCCCCTGGGCAGAGGCAGAGCTTGGCAGCACCCTGGGGCAGGGTCGGGTCGAGAAGGGCATGGTTCGAGCCCCATGATCATGCCCAGGAGAACCGGCACAAAGCAGGAGCAGATCAGGCTGGGCCCAGATGGGACTGGGTTCCGGGGTGGGTGGGGGGACAGGGTGGAGGCGGCGGTCCCTTCATCTCTGGGTGTTTCTATTTGGGCAGAGCAAAGTCCCAGGCAGTTTCCTGTGCACATTTCCACATGGCCTGCATGAGGCGGGTGAAGCCCATGTCTTTGGGTTTTTCCAGGCCTCTCATCAGCCGCTGCTTCATGATGGAGACAAACTCCTTATTGCTCAGCTCCCCATTGCCTAGTGGAGGACAAAACAACACAGGGTGAGGTGGAAGCCTTGGAAGACGACACTGAGAAAATTCCTTTGTTCTGATATGACTCCAAAGTCAGTGCTGTCACACGCACAGTCAACTCTCGTAGCTGAACACACACTGTTTTCGCTCCTTCAAACTGCAATTCCAACAGTTTGTATCGTGAAAGTTGAATGAGAATGTATTCCAGGTCAGGCCCTGCACTAGGAACTGAGACTAAATGAGATGTAGAAGATTCCAGGTTGGGGAGAGAGAACTGCATTATTTCAGCAGTGTGCTAGGTGCCCTAAGGGAGTCAACAAGGGATGCTAAGGGGCATCAAAAAAGGACAAAGAGATAACCCAGGGGACAGAGTGATAGCACAGTGGGAAGGGCACTGGCCTTGCACATGGCTGGCCCAGGTTCAATCCCTGGCATCCCACGGGATCCCCCAAGCCTGCCAGGAGTACAGAGCTAGGAGGAAGCCTTGAACATTGCTGGGTGTGGCCCCCAAACCAAACCCAAACCGAAAAGGAGAGCTAACCCAAGCTGGGAAGGTATAAATTCAGGTCAGGACAGAATTCCTAGGGCTGAATCCTCAGGACTAGGGGAGGCTGACCAAGAGGAAAATGGAGTACCATTCCAAGGATGTGTCCCTGCCTGGCATTGGCAAGAGTGGGCCCAAGCGGGAGACCCTGGAGGCGAGGGTGCATCACAGAAACCAAGGTGGGGGAGAGCGCCCGAGGATCTAACGTCTCCTGATGGTGTCTGTCTTTTAGGCAGTGAGGTACCCGAAAGGCCAGGTGGAGGGGAGTAAGATGTGGTCAGTCCCATTCGAGGTCGACTCCTTGGCTGGGTATGTGTGGACAGCACTGAGAAGGGGGACAGCCTAAGGCAGCCTGTTGCCCATTGCCCCTGTCCACATAAGTGAGAACAAGGATTTGTGCCATGGAAGCCAAAATCAAAATTTGGCTTTGAATTCAGCCCGTTTTATCATGGCTTCCCCTTCTCCCTGCTCCAGAGGCTGACTCGAGTCATCGTGTGAACTTAGAGGCTCCACTTTACCCAAAGGCCTTAAGCTGCACTGATCAGCAGCTACTTGAATAAGGCAGCACAGTGTCACCAGCTGCTTCTCACAGGGCGGTCTGTGCACTGTGGGAACAGAACTCTACCAATGGTGCTTGGTCTGGGAAGGGAGTCTAGAGGGAATAAATGACCCACTTTGGCTGAGTGTCTGGAAATCCAAACTGGCCCATATTCTCTAGCTGGACAGAATATGGATAGGCTCAGTGCTTGCTCAAGCAAGACCAGAACCAACTCTCCGGGGAAAAGGAAGCCTGTGGCCGTGAGTCATGGGTGTGGCGAGGGCTCTGGAGCCCAAACAGGATGTTTCTGGATAATGCTGCCTGCACAGGTGTGTCTGGCTTTTCAGTGGATCCAACTATATACTTTACAGTATTGTACTTTTCTGTATGTATATTATACCCTGACAAAGAAAATCTAAAGGCCTGACTGGACTGGCACTGAATGAATAAATCAGCTGATCAGGAATCTAATTTAAAGGACAAAAACTTTAAGATCCTTCACATATTTTGTATAAAAAGAAGCTTAAGAGCCAGAGTGACAAGATTGTGGGCAGGACGCTTGCTTTGTGGGTGGCCAACTCAGGTTCAATCCCCAGCATCCCATATGGTCCCTGACCAAAAAGCTCCACCAGGAGTTATTCCTGAGCATCACTGGGTGTGGCCCAAAAATGGAAGAAAAAAACAAAAAAACCTCTGAGGACATTCACTCAACTCTGGAATTTGGTAGCACTGACCTGTCTGAATGGCACTTGTGTACGTGATCTGTAAGTACAACTCTCGGTTCTCGATGGATGAGTCTATTTGAAAATTGGAATTCTCTGGGGCCAGAGCGATAGGACAGTGGGGAGGGCCCCTGCCTTGCATGTAGCCGACCAGGGACTGATCCCCAGCACCCTATATGGCCACCAGGACTGATTTCTGAGCACTGCCACGTGTGCACCCTACCCTGTTCCCACAAAGATTGCAATTCTCAGAATTAGGATTTTGCACAAGTGAAAATAATGATGGCATTTTAGTTTTGCATATCTTTTCTTCCCAATTAGGAAAATACGCCCCAGAGATGTCGAATGAGATTCCAAAGGGGACCTGAGGAGAGGCTGACAGAGCCTCTTCTGAAAGGCTGGATAATCCAAATATGACTTTGCCGTATTTCTCAGAAGGCTGAGGCTGGTTGCCTATATTCTCACAAGTATAACCTGGACCAGCTCTAGAATACTGGGTCCAAAACTACAAAAACAGGGGCTGGAGCGATAGTACAGCGGCTAAAGGTGTTTGCCTTGCTGACCTGGATTCGATTCCCAGCATCCCATATGGTCCCCTGAGTACCTCCAGGAGTGATTCCTGAGTGCAGAGCCAGGAGTAACCCCTGTGCATTGCTGGGTGTGACCCCCCACCAAAAAAAAATAAAAAACTTAAAAACTACAAAAACAAATGTATGCTTGTTTTCTAAGAATCTCCAACTCTAAAAGTGATTAAACACAAAATCTAGGGAAAGTTAGTATCTCCACAGCAGTGCTGTTCATGGGACTATGTGACAGGGAAATGGCTCTCACCTGTGCTGTGCGAAAGGGTGGCCCAACAAGCCACACAGAGCACTTGATAGGGAGCCAGAGAGACCTGGGAACTGAGCTTTAATTGTAATTAATGAAAGCAGAAACACATGACTCATGGTTTGATGTTGGACAGGGCGGCTGGAGAAAACAGCCCATCCCTACCGGGATGAGGCCACTTCCAAGACCTGGGGTTTCCTTGGCAGGCTTTGTTTTAGGGTGCTGGCTGAAGATTTAAGGAACGCAAGTTCCGCTGAGTCGAAGTTAATGAACACCTGTTTCGTGCACAGTCCTAGCTGGGATCCTGGTGAGGGGGCGGGGAGTGGGTCGAAAGGTGAACAGGACTTGTCCCTGCTCTTCTGAAGCTCACAGTTTGGTGGGGAAGTTAAGTGGAACACTCAAAGATAGTGACAGAGTAACACAGGCAAGGTGAACTCAGCCATGGCCCGAGAAAGCCAGCAGGAGTCATTTCCCGCCAAGAACAATGGCAGGGCGCATGCACATAAACCCGTTTTCCCAGCTGATTTGGGAACGCTGGGGCCAGTTTTCTTGAAGAAGGGAAACAAAGGCTCCAGGCTAGAGGGTCCATAGGGGTGGCTGGTGGGCCACAGGAAGCCAGCACAGCTCTGGGTCAAGCCCTCGAGTTATCTTGTCACTCCTTTAGTGGTCCTGGGAAGATTCACTTCTCTGATCTCCGCTTCCTTCGGTGGAAAATGTGGCTGGTAACGAGGCCTCAGAGAAGATTAAACACGAAGCTCACAACGAGGCATGGTTACTGCAAGCAGGGAAGGCAGGCAAAGCTTCATGTGCTGATCACTATTCTATCTGCTAACATGGCAATAAGGCCCTGAGCAGAATCAGGAGAGCTTGAAATGGGCTCAGCTACAGGGGGGTCACACTTCATGAACCACTGTGGGGTGCTGGACTGTCAAGATGGAATGCCAATGACTAATATGTGTTCTGGGAGACGGGCAAATTCGTCCGACCTTCAAGTGCTCTGGATGTGCTATGCTGGGTCTAAGTTTTATTTCTATTTTCAAGGTTTGGGATTGTCAGTGAATTGTGACCTACAGAGGACTTGGCATTACGAGGACGAACGGGAAACACAAGCCAGGTCCAAGGGTTCTGTTGCTCCACATCGCGATGCGGAGAGCCGAACTGTGACTGAGGGAAGGGGAAGCTACAGTTCCCATAAGGGCAGACCCCCAGAGCTGTGGGTGAACCTCCGTTCTCCACAGTGCTCCTCCCTCAGGCAGAGGTCTGGTTCTCCCGCCCTGCTCCAGAAGGTTCTACTCACCATCACAGTCGAAGAGCGCAAACACCACATCACACACGTGGTCTGAGAGTTCCACTTTCGCCACTGTCCTGGCCACTTGCTGCATGGTCACTGAAAGAAGGAAAGATGCCGAATCAATACAGCGGGAGGGCAGCTTCCTTCTTCCTGCTCTGAATGGGGGACAAAATGATCCAAGCAGCGCTCAGGAGGTTCAGGAGGCAGGGGCCTTCCCAGACATCCGTCACCTGGGCCAGCAGCAATGCTTGGGGCAAAATGTGGAGCTGATCAGATAGAGAAGAGAGCACCAAATAAAGGGTGTTTGGAGGATCCTCCCAGGATAGGAAATGCATGTTGAAAGTAGACTATGGACCGAACATGATTGCCACTCAATGCCTGTTTTGCAAACCACAACACCCAAAAGGAGAGAGAGAACAAAAGGGAATGCCCTGCCAAAGAGGCGGGGTGGGAGGGGGGGATGGGGGTGGGAGGGATGCTGGGATCCATGGTGGTGGAAAATGGGCACTGGTGGAGGGATGGGTATTTGATCATTGTATAATCAAAACCCAAGCACAAAAATTTGTAAGTCTACAACTGTACCTCATGGTGTTTCACTAATAAAAATTATTTAAAAAAAAAACAACGTGGAGCTGAGGTTCAAGTTAGGGGGTGCTGCTTGCCAGGCAGGTACCTAACGCCATGCTTTCTCTCCAGCCCGATAACTGAGATCTTAATCACACACTTTTCTGTTTTGTCCCAGGTTCCATTCTTCCCTCCAGTTTCTGCATTTCTGGAGGTTTAAACAGTAACTTTTATACTGATATTTAAGTTCCTAGAGACACAAAGTTACTGAAGGCAGGGGAGAAGGGGAGCTGGAGAATCAGTGGTTTCAAGACCCTCGTTTTCTCTTTGGGCTGTTATGGAAATAGAGGTGCTGGCTATACCACACTGTGAACGTCCATAATGCCACTGATGTGGGCATGTACAATGGTTTAGGTGGCATGTTTTTTTGCCACATACACTGCTCCTCGCAACTTGAAAAATTATCCAACAATAATTAAGGATAAAATAGCACAGCGGTAGGGCGTTCGCCTTACAAGCGGCCAACATGGCCGACCCGAGTTCGATTCCTCCGCCCCTCTTGGAGAGCCCGGCAAGCTACCGAGAGTATTCGATATGCCAGACACAGTAACAACAAAGTCTCCAATGGAGACGTTACTGGGCCCGCTCGAGCAAATCGACGATCAACGGGAGGGCCTTTACCTTTACCTTTTTAATTAAGGATGGGATTCGAACAGTCTAGATTCTAGAACATTCTGTGGAAACTTTTCTAAGAAATTATCAGCAGAGTGCCCCCCCCCCCAAAGACCCAGAGCAGCAGCACCCTAGCATCTTATAAAATTTTTTGAAAAGACAAAACAGAACTGTTCTTAGGAGAGTGTCCTGCTTGCCCCCATCCTCTCACCGGAAAGAACACGATTAACAGAAAGTCAAGAACTTAACCAGGCAGCAAAACATTGCCAGGGCAGGAAACAAGGCGGGTTAGTCTGAGGGCTCAGAGCCTCCTCCGGCTTCACTCACTGACTGACAGCCCATCACCTGGTGAAAATGCTCCTTGGCTATCTCACTCCAGGTTCTCACCAGTCACTTTGTTTTTTTTCCCCAGCTGAGCCCCTTGGGATACGGAGTGCCCCCACCCCCCTTTATGAACTCTGTAGGTCATCTTTTTGTTCTTTTGTTTCTCTTTTGCAGACCTCAGCAAAAAGCCCTTCTCTCTGCACATACTGTTAAAACAGCAGCAATCATGTGAGTAGCTGGGTTCTTAAAAAAAAACCAGCTAGGAAGGCTGGGCAGTTTTCACAATCTTCTCTCCCAGTATCCTCAAACCTGACCTACCTCCAGCTATTTAAAGAGTCCTTTCTATTTAGAGAGACGTGTCGTTTATATGGTACTTGCTTATAGGTCTCCTTTTCAGTGAGGGAGAAGTCAGAGCAAAGAGGCTTAATTCCTACTTCCAATCAACCAGCAAAGGGAAGCCTCTAGAAGCTGAGCCCCAACCAGGTTTGGGCAAAGAGGCCTGGAGCCCACTTAGTCTTCTCTGGTGCTTGGTTCCTCTGACTTCCTGTCTGCATTCTCTTTCACTTCACTTTTGTCATCCCCGTCCCAAGGGCAGCAGATACAAAAGCCAGGACAGAAAAACAAGGTGATGGAGGAGAAAGATGCAGGGAGTCACGAGGTTTCATTCCCAGTCTGGCTTCACCACTCACTTGCTGTATGACCTGATCTGCAATCCCTCCCCTCCCCACCCTCCCCTCCCTCCCTCCCCCCCAGCCCCCACTCTCTTTGGTTTGCTTTTTTGCAATTAAAAATAATTAAAGAACCACGATTTACAAAGTTATGGGGAGCTGCGTTTTAGACACATAACGTTGGCGCACCAATCCCATCACCGGAGTCAACCTCCCTCCACCAGCGTCCTCAGGTTCCCTCCCGCCTGCCACTCAAGTTTGCTGGTGCCAGTTTGGATCTCATGTTTTCAGTGCTGTTGGGTCTGAGTCACTTCATCTATTTTCTTTTTTAAATTACATTTTTATTTGGAGGTTTTGAAGGGAAGGATGGGGAGAAAGTGGGAGAGAGTGGAGAGTAATGTGCTCAAGAGACAACCCGGGTTGTCCAAGTGTGGAGAGAGCCCTTACACACATGGCAGCATTAGATATGAAAGCATGAAAGTCCACATCTCAAGACAGGAGATACGGGCGACACGTGCTTGGGCACGACATGTGCTCGGCAACGTGGGCACAAGCAACACATGGGTGTGGGCAGCATATGCACCACTTCATCACTTTAAAGTGAATTTTCTCCTACTCAAATAAGGGCTATATGAGAAGCCTGGGCGAGGCCCAATAGTACAACTGGTAAGGAGTTTGCCTCACATACTTCTGACCCGGGTTCGATCCCTGGCATCCCATATGGTCCCCTGCGCACTTCCAAGAGTAATTTCTGAGTGCAGAGCCAGGAGTAACCCCTGAGCACTGCTGGGGTTACACAAATGAACAAAGAGAATGCCTTAGACTGACGGGTACACAGAATGAAGGTTTCTAGTGCTTTCTAGTGCGGAGGGTGAAGCTGAGCATGGAGGCATGTGGTGAGGATGGGCTGAGGATGTGTGCTCAGGGTTCTGGAAGATACACTGGCTACATGCTAGGCGGTGCCCTAGACTTTGGAGTCTCTGAGTTACTGTTCTCACTCTTCCTCTGGTTGACAGGGATGAGTCAGGGTGAAAGCGGCATCAACATTCCTTGGTATGAAAGACTGAAGTTCTGGGGTTTTGAAACAGGTTTTGAAATTACCTCATAGGCCTGAGGTAATTTTTCTCAACTGACCCAATAAGAACTGATTCTTGCTAACTGAATGGCCCAGAGAAGGAACAGAAATCAGAGGGCTAATTTACACCAAGAACAGTTTCAGCATCCTTTACTGCCCTTCTACCATGTGTCACAGATACATTTACAAGGTGCAGTTTTATATTGAGTAAGATTATTTTGTGACGTAGACAATAAACACACACACAAATTAATTTTGTTTTGAGGAGGGGAGTTTTGGGTCTCACCCAATAGTGTTCAGGGCTTACTCCTGGCTCTGTGCGAAGGGATCACTCCTGGTGGTGCTTGTGGGACCATACATGGTGCTGGGGATTGAACTATAGCTGGCCGCAGGTAGATGCGTGCTTTACTGGCTGCATTTTCTTCCTGACCCCCAAAGAGAATTTTTATTCTTCATTTGATATTATTTTTGGTTTGCGGTCACACCCAAACAGTGCTCGGGGGACTATGTGGTGTCAGAAATTGAACCTAGGGCTCCCGCCTGAAAAGCTTGTGCTCCAGCTGGTTGAACTCTCTGGCCCCACACATGGAGCTTAAACACATACCGGACATAAAAACATTTATATGGCTTGCTTTGTTACAATATTTGCTTTATTTGTGTTGATTCAGAACTGCAGTATTCTCCAAGGTGTGCCTCTAAACCAAATGACCACGGAAAGCTATTGTATGTCTCAGTAGAAAATAAGGAAACACAATTCAGCTCAGATGATTGCTCAGAGGAAACAGAACCAACCAGAAGAAAGTGAATGCACTCAAACTGTGATCTGAATTACCTACTGAATTGCCCTGTGTGGGCACAGACAGAAGTCCTGAGAATCAGGTCACGATTTCCTCCACATGAGATAAACACGATTTTCCTCAACGGAACCTTTTCTCACATCAACCCCTGGCTGCCGTCATCACTGAAAATCTTGCCTCGTCTCCAGTTCTTCATTCTCATGGGAGAGTGCCCATGGCCAAGTCCTCTTGACGTTCCACACGCCCATCCTTTGCCCGGTGGAGACAGGCCTTTCCTCTAAATAAACCATCAACTAATATTCCAAAGATGTCAGTGAGAGCTCTTGACAATTTTCATAAAAAGCTCTTAGAAGTGGTGCTGTGGTTGTTGAGAGGGGCCCGTGGAGGCCACCAGCGGGAAAGCCTCTTTATAAATTGGCAGGAGAGGCAGAGGTCCTATTTCCTCTCTCACAGGCACAGAGGGTTCTGGCATCACGGAATGTCTTGTTAGAAACTGACAGGAGAGGCAGAGTTTGTGTATTTTCTCTCTCACACACACAGAGGGCTCTGGCATCATTTGTATACAGGAGCTGAGAATCCATTTTAACAAACCACTGGGTCATTACCAGCAATAAACAGCCTCACTGGGGTCTCCTTTCAGAGTCTAGGAACCTCAGATAAGCCCGAAGGGGTGAATCAGAGCAGTGAAGGAAAACATTTAAATAGCTAGAAAATTGTCAAGCTCTGAGCTCCGGAGACAAGTGGAGTGACAGCAGGTTAGAAGTCAGTGCTTGACAGCTGGCTTGAGAACTGTCTCGTTCATATTTTCCCCCGATTGCAATGTCACCATAAACTACAACACACAGAACAGCCCCAATGCAGACCTGGACTTCCTCATGCTGACAAGAGACGTTCCTGGAATTTGGCCTCCCTTCTATGATGGTGCTAATGTCTGGGATTATAACTTTATTATTTTATTTTTTTTCAGGAAGAATCAGATAGGAGCAATTGGGGTGT